AATCAACTCGCCACGTATTGAACTACGGCGAGTGATCAGATGATCGGTGGGCGGAGATCGCCGGACCCGCCAGCTTTGAGGCATGATAGGTCGCCGAGGTCAAATTTTTCCATGCGAATTGCGCGTCAGTTCGCACCCTCAGGAGGTCCGTGGGTCCCTCAACTAGGTCTCGACCTTCATTCTAATCGTGAATCCTTTAAGGGACAATTTTGCCCAATTGTGAGCGAGAGTTGGGCGCGCCAAAAAGAGGCGTGGTCCCACGAGCAAGCTACGTGCAAATCCGCATTGTCGTCAAAGGGTTAACTGGTATTCGAGCTAGGCTCAGCACCTATTTCACAAAGTTGAAAAGGACACACAAACTACCTAAATTTCTTCGACTTTTTCATCTATTATGCTTTGTGTTATTCTGTTTCCACAGCTGACTTTACACATAACATTCTCAGAGACACTACGAGATGAAACAATCGTAGCCAAACTCCTTACGTTCAGTACGACAGAATACCGTAATTGTGTATATTTCCTGTCCACATTTCTGAGTAGTTTTGTCTCAATTAGCTAATATCGGAGGCGAAATGTTCCCGGATGGTTTTCTGGCAACTGCTTGCGTTGGAATATCGAAACAACGTACCATCCACACCTCTGTTAACTTCTTCAAGTTTTCAAGGAAGTTAACTGCAACAATGTACACCAGGGTTCGTGCAAAGATTAGGCTGATGTCACAATCCGCGATCCGTCGCGCGATTCGCGCGAATCGCAAGAATCGTAATTTAACAATCAAAACTTTGAATATGAAACAAGTAGAATCATGAACAGTCGTCATTCAACCATCACCATCTAGCAGAAATGGCGGAGAGCACCACGCAGTACTGATTAGGGCGTTTGTGATTTCTGTAACCCGTCGCGCGATTCGCACGAATCACGCGACGGACACCAACTCTGACACCAGCCTTATAACGACATCCACGCCTCTTGGCTTTTTTCGTGTAGATTTTTGATTTGAGCTACCTTGTTGTAGCATGCTGAAGAAAATTCATCGTCACTCTTGAAAGCGTAAACGATTCCCACATCCAAGAGAACAGCATAGACTTTCTATTTAGCAAAGATACATTTCCAATGTCTGGAGTTTGAAATACATTCCCCCCACTTCTGCTTTCTTTTGTAAACAAAAGTTGCCTGAAACTTCAGACCAAGCAACGATCCTGCCATGTCGACTGGCGCCAAGAAGGTAGCTTCGTCCTGATAATTGAGTTAATTACATCAACTTTCATTCATCCGTTTTTTCCCCTGTGTTAAGTCTCCACTTATCATGGGTTGGTTCTTCGGAATGGTTAATTTACCGCTTGTTTTCCTTTCGTACACATCATTGATTTCTATTCAGTATTGCTGTCTTTACGGAAAGATTTTTAGCTGTTTTCTCTCATGTTTTCTTGATTAAAGGTCCTCAAAAAATGAAAAAGGGTGGTGTTGAATGAATCGTATTCAGGGAAGCACGTCTGGCAGGGCTCCGACATGAGAAGATGAAGTCTCAGATATCCGGAGCATCACGAGATGAACGTTTGAGTGGTTTGCTTTATGATCCGGACTTCGACTGTTACTATAACCCAGTCGACGATCAGTACTACAAACTTCAGCCTCCAAGCAAGGATTCTTAACAGCTATCTAAATGGAAATGGAGGGAGCGTCGGAAAGCTAGTCCACGTAAGCGTAAAGGGAAAGGCAGCACTAATGGTGAAGGCATGATTCGCTTTTGTGAAATCGTATCACTTATTTCATGAGGCTAAAAATGAGTGAATAAAAGTTTTACGTGTATCAAGTTGTTTCCTTTCCGTGGTACGCAAGAGGATCTGAGAGGATCGCAAGAGGAAAAACCCCAAAATAACACAGAACCGATAAAAATCGTGGGAGAGGGGGTGGGGGAACCGAGTCCCAGCATATTGGAAACGGATCACATGTGGAAATGATTTAGTTGGAACAATGAGCCGACTGGTTTGGATATGTTTCCAAAAATAACTCGCTAGTGCTGCCGTAAAAGGGGAATCTTACTTAGTGGAGAGACAGGCGGATCTCTTAAAGGTGTGGACCGACACGCAATTCGCATCGAAGGATATGCCTCCGGCGATCTAGCATGGCCTTCCCCGCGGCGCAACTGGCGCGGTACGCCCCCTCTCGCGCCGTCTCGTGTCTGAGTCTCTAGCCGTTTAGCAGAGAGAGCGTTAGCGTTGAAGAGGGCAGCACCGATGAGAGTCGCATCAGTGCGCAAAGGAAGGGATTCCATTTGTCGGGTTCTAGGTCATTTTTCTGAGCTTTTACCTCTTTCTTGCATCACGGACCACCTCTGAATCAATTTACAATGGGCCGCCTTTTCATGGTGGAGTCCGCCTTTAAGACAAGCAGCGGATTTAGAATATTTATAGATATTGGTTAGAAAGTTGGAATAGATGGACTGAAATTGGTTCTTACAGGGAAATAATAGGAATATTTTTGGCTAAATACTGCGTTTGGATAGGGATAGCTACACGATGCTCCCAAATAAGAGAGCATTTTGCGATCTGATTAATTTTGCTTTCTGAAAAATATTCATAAACATCTGAATGGAGCCTCCATTAGTCATTTTCAAAACTCTTCCACAATACCGGTGTTGTCGACTCGAAAGTGAGTCATAAGTGTACTGCCAATTCATGATCTTGGCCCCAGTACTCCTTATGCTCGAAGGCACTCCCTTAGTGATGGTGAGAGCCGCTGGTTAGAAAGGTTTATGAGTGACTTACTGAAAAACCGGAACAACATAGATTCTGTTGACGAAGTTAACGACAGTAGTGGAACACATGCCCCTAAATTTGAATGTCTTCAAAGTGATACCAGCCAACGCCAACTCATGCGATCACCAACTGCGTGTACATTTTCTCAAATCAGCGGCAAGTCTTAGGATCTTGCTCAAAGGATTTTCGGCGACTATTTGACCACTTGGAGATTACAGGGTGTCGCTGCACCCGATTTCTGTTAGTCCACTAGCTTGTGCTCAACCTAGAACACGAATCAATTCGCCTGCTGCACTAAAAAATACTCAAGACTTGATCATCTTTATTACCCTCGCATTTGTCGTGGAGATCTCATTTGTCAGGGAAAATTTCTTTGATCGGCGTCAAAGAGAAGTAAGTGATGTGCCTTTTTGAAAATGGACCGCGAACTGAAACAACAATCACAGCACTAATGATAAAGCACAAAAAAATAAGTTGGCGTGAAAGGTTCCAAACCTCCTGAATGTGCTTGCAGTACCGTGGATGTAGTCAAGAATACCCAGCACACCGAAGCATTTCGTTGAACCTGCAAAGGAATCTTGGTGGTTCCAACAAACTCTTGTACAGAGAAGTTTTTCCAGCAGAAGACGGCATAGAATTAGGGTTATGCACACTTTGATGAACCCTGAACTGGCGGTGTCTTACTTGGTCTACAGGGTGGGGCAAAATTACTGGTGCACCTATACGTTTTGAATTTTTTAACACTTCTTGGAGATTTTCCTGTTTCACTCGCTTGTGATATGTTGCCTGGAGGTTGCGTAATTCCTACGTACTCGAATACAAAATGGTCCGTCGTTCTGACCTACGGAGCGCGATCATCAAACTTCACAACGACGGCAAGCAAACAAGAGAAATTGTGAAGATCCTTTCCGTACCTCGAAGGACGGTTCAGAATACAGTACGACGCTATAAAGAACTGAAGACCGAAGAGGACAGGGAAGGAAGAGGACGTCCCACAACAGCTACGAGTCGGAGAAATGTGAGGCTCGTCAGAGAAAGAATTCGAAGGAACGCCAGGAGATCGATGCGCCAGATGGCGAAAGACGTTGGAGTAAGCGCGAGGTCAATGAGGAGGATTGTCAGAAGTAAGCTAAGGAAGTTCCCCTATCGCTTGCAGAAATGCCAACTCCTGACGGACATTATGAAGAAAAGGAGATTGGAGAGATGCAAGAAGTTGCTGCAGCGATTCACGGTGGCACGCGCCCGAGACATCGTTTTCAGTGATGAAAAGATTTTTACTCTGAATCCAGCCTTCAACTCCCAAAATGAGAGGATTATTGCAGGATCACTTGCTGATGCTACCACCAAGGCAAGACTCCAGGAAAGAGCGAAACACCCCCAGTCCATTCTTGTTTGGGGAGGAGTCACCTCTACGGGGAAGACCCCACTTGTTTTCGTTGAAGCTGGTGTAAAAATCAACGCAGAGGTTTACAAAAATATCCTGGAGGAAGTTCTCAAGCCGTGGGCCAACTCCCATTTCGGAGAAGCCTACTGGTGCTTCCAGCAGGATTCTGCTCCAGCACACAAAGCAAAGATGGTCCAGGAGTGGTGCGCCGAGCACCTGCCCGACTTCATCAGACACGACGAATGGCCCTCCAGTTCTCCTGATCTAAACCCGATGGATTACTCTGTGTGGTCCATCTTGGAGAGCAAAGCGTGTTCTACCAGACATCCAAACTTGGACTCTCTTAAGGCGGCGCTTTCAAAATCTTGGGACGAAATCGATGACCAGTACCTGCGTGCCACATGCGAAGCATTTGTCGAACGTCTGAAGGACTGTGTGAAGGCTAAAGGAGATCATTTTGAGAAGCATTAACATTTTTTGTATTGTCATGTTTGTAGTAAATAATATTGATAATTAGAATTGATTTGTGAGAATTATTGTCAAAATGCCATTGAAAATTTAGTGCACCAGTAATTTTGCCCCACCCTGTAGTGTGGAATTGCGTGGGCGAAAGGCGTAATAACGTAATAATTCGTATAGCATACATTATAACGTTAAGTGTGTGTGTGTGTGTGTGTGTGTGTGTGTGTGTGTGTGTGTGTGTGTGTGTGTGTGTGTGTGTGTGTGTGTGTGTGTGTGTGTGTGTGTGTGTGTGTGTGTGTGTGTGTGTGTGTGTGTGTGTGTGTGTGTGTGTGTGTGTGTGTGTGTGTGTGTGTTGTGTGTGTGTGTGTTTGTGTGTGTGTGGTGTGTGTGTGGTGTGTGTGTGTGTGTGTGTGTGTGTGTGTGTGTGTGTGTGTGTGTGTGTGTGTGTGTGTGTGTGTGTGTGTGTGTGTGTGTGTGGTGTGTGTGTGTGTGTGTGTGTGTGTGTGTGTGTGTGTGTGTGTGTGTGTGTGTGTGTGTGTGTGTGTGTGTGTGTGTGTGTGTGTGTGTGTGTGTGTGTGTGTGTGTGTGTGTGTGTGTGTGTGTGTGTGTGTGTGTGTGTGTGTGTGTGTGTGTGTGTGTGTGTGTGTGTGTGTGTGTGTGTGTGTGTGTGTGTGTGTGTGTGTGTGTGTGTGTGTGTGGTGTGTGTGTGTGTGTGTGTGTGTGTGTGTGTGTGTGTGTGTGTGTGTGTGTGTGTGTGTGTGTGTGGTGTGTGTGTGTGTGTGTGTGTGTGTGTGTGTGTGTGTGTGTGTGTGTGTGTGTGTGTGTGTGGTGTGTGTGTGTGTGTGTGTGTGTGTGTGTGTGTGTGTGTGTGTGTGTGTGTGTGTGTGTGTGTGTGTGTGTGGTGTGTGTGTGTGTGTGTGTGTGTGTGTGTGTGTGTGTGTGTGTGTGTGTGTGTGTGTGTGTGTGTGTGTGTGTGTGTGTGTGTGTGTGTGTGTGTGTGTGTGTGTGTGTGTGTGTGTGTGTGTGTGTGTGTGTGTGTGTGTGTGTGTGTGTGTGTGTGTGTGTGTGTGTGTGTGTGTGTGTGTGTGTGTGTGTGTGTGTGTGTGTGTGTGTGTGTGTGTGTGTGTGTGTGTGTGTGTGTGTGTGTGTGTGTGTGTGTGTGTTTGACCGGAAATTCATAGCTCGAGTCACAGTAACGATAGCGCAGTGGTTCTTACATATGTTATAGGGGGTGGGATGGGGACACAAGTGGTACGTGATAGGAACTGATAACGACTGATAATAGCTGATAAGAGGGGCTAGAAAGCGAGCATCGCCAATTTCGTTTTGCCGTTCATATTGGTAAAAGAGCGTCTATACTTACAAGTGTTATGTGGGGCGGTCCCGGGACATTGGTGGTACATGATTGGAAGCGATAGCAACTGATAATGGCTGATAAGATGCGCTAGAACGCAAAAGTCGTCGATTCCTGTCAAGGAACTCCGTTGACACCAGAGCAACCATACTACAAGTGTTATGTGGGGTGGGACGGGGACATTGTTGGTGGGTGATTGAAAGTGATTACAACTGATAAGGGCTGATAAGGGGCGTCAGAACGCAAAAGTCGTCGATTCCGTTACCCAGCTCGCGTTGACACCAGAGCGTCCATACTCGCAGGTGTCATGTGGGGTGGGACGGGGACATTGTTGGTGGGTGATTGAAAGTGATTACAACTGATAAGGGCTGATAAGGGGCGTCAGAACGCAAAAGTCGTCGATTCCGTTGCCTGGCTCGTTGACACCAGAGCAACCATACTTACAAGTGTTATGTGGGTGGGACGGGACATTGTTGGTGGGTGCCAGAAACTGATAACGATTGATAAGGGCCGATAAGGGCGCCAGAACGCCAATTCCACGATATCCATAGAGGGCGTCCCAGCATCAGTGAGGCGTTGGTTCGAAGAAGTTGTTGGGGGGGGGGGGTATTACGGGAGCATATATGGTGGAAAAAAAAGGAAGGGATAACGGCTGATAAGGGCCTATAATAACGATATGCGCAAGAATATGGAGGTCACTCAAAACCAGACTTTAGATAAAGCATTTCATTTCAATATTCTTCCATTTGCGTTGTTATCACCAGCCCGAAATACCACTAAACCGCTATGCCCCCAGAGTTCCTAAAAATGTATGGTGTAAGTCCAAAAATACGATAAATAACGAGTGCTGGATGTTTATATTTTAACATCACACACAATCCGACCGCTACAGTACACTGGCACTCAATGCATGGTGGTTGTTTACAGACACCACTTTAGCTCCGCACTCCACTGCGCGTATCAAACGGTGAGCTTCTGCTAAGATAAAGAGCTTATGTTAGCGGTGAATCTAGCGCTTTGTCGGCTGTCCTGTCTCATCCCGACCTTCCGTTTAATGCGCGCGGTAGCGTGCGGCGCTAAACTGGTAATTAAATAATGCGTAGTCCTTGTGTGATTTCATAGGTTACAAAGGCTTCCACGATTTTATTAATGGACAAAATTAGATGACAAGAGAGGAGAGGCACTATAAGGGACACTTTAATTTCCTATACTAAATTTATGCGAAAATAAATGTCATAATGTGAAGATTCCAAATCTCAAAAAAGGAGCGACGAGCGATTTTCGAAAGTCTGTTCTTTCGAAATTGTTACAGTTTTTGGAAAATGGCAATCCCAGATTTCAAATCTGTTTATCACTTCACACAAAACCAAAATGAAGAATGTCATGAGTAGTGGAGACTGAAAATTCTCATATTCAAAAAACTACCTAAGAGGCCACCACAATATGCTGGAATACGACCGAAGCACTTCGCCCTTGATCAGATCGAATCCACATTTCTCGCTTTTCGAGCATACTAACTAAACACTTATGGTTAGGGCACCGCTTCTCCTTAACCCAGTTCCTCGAAAAAGCTTTTCATAGGGCTTCTTCTGAAGTATGACCTATTGCCAGTTTTAGCGCTCCTGGAGCACACCACTATGACGCGTCGGGGTTCCCTTAGATATCTAATTTTCGGACATTCCGGTGAGAATAAAATTCTTGGTTTCGTGAACTAGCTCATAACGTACACTTTATGGTGGTAGTCATGAGCTTCTGGAGACGGCTGAAACGGGAAATGGTATCCAGAATGGGAGAAGTTGTCGACATTGTAGCTATACAGGCCCAAATCCAAAGTGTAGTAATATGTGAGCCACAGAGCGTGGGACCTGCAAAAATGATTTCCAGAATGAACAGAGAAATCACTGCCAGAACTCACCGAGAAGCACCACTGGGCGGCGGTGCGTCCCCTGCCAGGTATTAGATTGGAGAACGCATGCTCGATGGGATGGCAGTAGATGCTTGTTATTGCTTAAACACAACATTTTTGATAAAAAGTAATCCATAAGTCAAATAAACCCTCTAGGAAAACTCACAAACAGGCGTTGTCCATTCATGATGGATTTTGTGAACATGCTTGTATATTTTAGGATGGTGGAAAAGCCTAAACAAAATCATGTTGGGGCTGTAAGAAGTGGATTTTTAGAATTCTTTCTGCAAACTTCTTTGTGCATCACAGCGATGTGTCAAATTCCTCAAAAACTATGAAAATGAAAAAATACGGATTCTCAAGGTCCTGCAAGACACATATCAGGTCTTCCAAAACGGCTTCGTAAACCTGGAATGGAACCCGCAAGCCTTACACTTTTACTAATACTTTCACGAGATCCACTCCAGCAAGCTAAGCGGAAACTATGGCAATAGGTGCCCCTTTGTGCCACGAGTACGCTCCAGAACTTTATCCCTGAAAGGAGCTCCCTAGGCCAATCACATTTTCCATTTCTCTGCGTTTATTATTGTGCACAGTACTGGTCTAGAAAGATAAAAACTTAAAGGCAGCGATTACGATAAATTCAAGAAGGGTTTAGTGGGACGTGGTGGTGCTCAATGGTACGCCAGTGGCGAAAAAAGCAGAAAATCCGTCAAGAAAACGCAAAACGGGACCCCTTTTTTTGGCCGTTGGTTTTCACTCATGAACAGGTAACAGCTCAGAAAGTGGAGTTATGAACGAGTTCACCAACGATGCTCCATTTGCGCCGCTGCTGGCCACGCAGCTCGTCCAAATCAACAAGTAAACTAGTGGGCGGATCGCTTTTGGGGCGGAGTGCTTTCGAAGTCCTGCTCAGCAACCAGCGCACCTTTCGTCGTGAAAGCGCCACACCTCGCTTCCTTGGCAGCCAAGTAACTGATTCGTGTGGTGCATATGCTTCCCCGATGCGCTCCCTCTTTATCGTAATCGCTTCCTTTAACAAAGACTGTTTTCCGTAATGAGTTGGTGACCGTAGGTCATTGTACTATTCGAATGGCCTTCAAATTTCGCTACATCCTTGATAGAAGTGCAATTTGTGGCCTTCGCCGGAGATTGAACAACGTAAAGCACATTGTCCTTCAGCGAAGAAATGGACGTAGTAGGCGGATATTGGTAATAAAAAACTAGTATCAATATCCTAGTGGGCGGTAGACCATGGTGCCAGGCAAATATGATGCATTCAGACAATCAGGAAAAAAGAAGACCCAATCAGCCAGAGTGGATTTTAATCCGATATCTGGAGTCCAAGCCATGTACAACACCGTCAAAAAAGAAATCACCGCAGACATTTTTTGGCCATAACTCATGTTCAAACTTAATATTTTGGCTGATTTTTGACATGTTGCCATCACTGAATACAGAGTTTCGAACGGTCGAACATCAGGTGATGTGGACACGTGACTTTGTGATGACTGTTGGACCAGATCGTTCACCACGACCGCCGGCTCAACGTTCAGACTTCTTCATGGGAGCTACGGACGAAAGAAATGGAGGACTTCGTGTGAGCGAGAAGGGTCCATTGGTCTGTGTAAAGCTACAGGTACTTGGGTGGAGGTTTTGCCGGCGCTCGCTCGAAAAGCTCGCCGAAATGGACGACGGGGCATACAGGTGATTAGAAAAGATTTTCCAAAGAAGAAATGACACCAGCACAAGTCAACAACAGTTCTGCTGGCTTGAGTATGATAATAAGTTTCTTCTGCAATGGCATGTCCTAATTCAATCAGAATTGCACTTTTACTATTCCAAAATCGACCATGAAAATGATAGCCTCATTTGACGTTCTTTGTGACGGCTTCTTTTCCTTGTCCTTTGGTGGCGGTATGAGCGATATCCACTTTTCCTGAGTCGAATGAACCCAAACCTGTGTAAGTTGGAAGTTAAAGGGAAGCGATTACGATAAAGAGGGAGCGCATCGGGGAAGCATATGCACCACACGAAGCAGTTACTTGGCTGCCAGGGAAGCGAGTGTGGCGCTTTCACGACGAAGGTGCGCTGGTTGCTGAGCAGGACTTCGAAAGCACTCCGCCCCCAAAAGCGATCCGCCCACTAGTTTAGTTGGTGATTTGGACGAGCTGCCAGCAGCGGCACAACTGGAGCATCTCGATTGAAGCGTGGTTTGGCATGGTGCCACCAAACGCGTTGCGGTGAACTCGTTCATACGTCCGCTTTCTGAGCTGTTACCTGTTCATGAGTGAAAACCAACGGCCAAAAAAGGGGGTCCCGTTTTGCGTTTTCTTGACGGATTTCGCTGTTTTTTTCGCCACTGTCGTAAGCATTACCACGTCTCTTTTGATCCTTTCTTGAGCCTATCGCAATCGCTGCCTCCAACAGGAAACTTTTGCTCCAAATGCTGAAACTTGACACGTGATGAAAGCACATTTCGTGATGTCCTTTGAATGAATTCCACTGACGAAGGCAGACTCATCCAAAGGTTCAAATATAATACTTTCGCTGCGAACTCTTAACTCAATACATATACATGCATTTCCTCCCAGTCTATTAAGGTGACGAATCCGCCGAAACAAAAATGTTGACCATGATAAAAATGTTCCCCGTCCATTTACAAACGGTTGACCTTATTACACTCACCTGTGAGAATAATAGAATCCAATCTCTTCTACGAAAATGCACACCACTATTTGTGCAAGCACCGTAGTCACCACCGGAAGCTTCTTATCGAAGGATACACCTAAAAACGGTCTCCCTTCTTTGTGCCCATAACTGCATTCAAAGTTTTAGATTACCTGTAAATTTCATGGGATAGTGGAAAACAGTTGTAACAATTACTCCTGTCACAAACTGATTGAAAAGCACTAATCTCAAAGCTTCAAGATACTTCGAGAAGGACGGCTGAAATTGAAGTGGAAAATAGGTAACCTTATTTGGACCAGTGAAAA